TGACTGTGCGGACAGATGCCCGCGTCGCCTCGCCCGGGCTGGGTGAACCCACCGTACCGTAGTAGTGGTTCAACCCTCTGCACAACGCCCTAGCTACAGGAGTTTCACCGGCGACTTCGAACAGGGGCAGTGGAAAAATCCCATTTCTGCACCTGGAGGTCTGTGCTTGCTGGTGAGCTTGTTCAAAGCATAGCAGAAGATCGCCAGCTACCCTCGATCTCCGTATAGCGGGACCCTCTACCAGGCCCTCAAGGTGAGGGAACCTCAATTGGGCTCACCCCTTCCCTCGCTCACTTCACAGGAGTCTTCCGGGACGGTCCAAGGCGACTCCCACTCATCATCTGCTCCTGTCCTCCTTGACGACCTTCACGCCTCAACTTCTTTGCAACCTGATCACTTCTTGAGCTCTCCTGAACTTCTTTCCACCTTTCATCATCCTTACTGCTGCTTTCCACGGCTGGCTCCTATCTCCCACACTCTTCGCACTCGCACACACACACACACTATCCACAGGGAGCTCCTTTCATTTCTTCGTCTCCTCCTTTCGCAATTCCTTGTTATACCTTCCTTCACCTTTCTTCCCAGCTTTCCATCCTTTGCCCCGGTCCCCCTCCTTCCCCTTTGTGTGTGTGCGCGATCGTTCCTCTCCTCAAACCTTTGCCTCCTATAATGGGAGCCCTTCAGCCGCGCTGGATATGGGGCTCAGAGGAAGGATTGCAGGGTTAGCCAGAATTTGAAGGCGCTCGAGTTTGCAAGTTATTGGACGGTCAGCCGGCAGATTGAGCTTCTTGGTGGAGATGGGCCTACGTGGCCTCATGGAGGCTGCTCGAAGTGCAAAAGAAGAGGCGAGGCTGCGCCAGGTCACATCGCAGCCGAGCTTTAGCAGCAAAGTGTATGGGCCTCACGGCTCATTGCAGGGCTCATAGTCTGGAAGAGGGGCTGTGGGCACCCCTTCTCCAGGTTGTAGGCGCGTCAAAGCCCCAGCAAAACCCTTTGCGACCCGGGTCAGCCTGGACGGCTCCGAGAGGAGCTCCTCATCAACCATCACCTCTTCGCTTTCACGCGAGTCCAACTCCTCAACCTCACTTGACCTGCCTCTATGTCTCCTCTTCCCCACCTCCATCGCTTTCAATTCTACCTTGCGCCTGAACTCCGGCCTTGAGTCCAAACCAGTGCCACCGAAGAGCGCGTCATATTCCTCACCGCTGAGCTCCTCGCGCCTTCTGCGTTCACGTCCTTCTTGCTGTTCCCTTTTGTCGGTCTCAGGGCTTCTTTCTCCCTGGGCACCTCTCCAGCGTCTCCTCTCTCAGGATCTCCCAGGAGAACTCTCTCCTGCTTCTCCCGGCGCAGGTCCTCCATCTCATCTCTTCCTTCCACCACTGCGGCCTCCAGGTTCGTCATCCAATCTTCTGACCAAGCATCAACCCTCTTGGCCTTCTTCCCGTGCGCCAGGAGCTCATCCACTAGTGAACACGTACCTTCTTCTCCTTCTTGCCGCTGAGCACCCTTAGCAACGCCTCACTCTTAGTCCCATGGACTAGCCCAGCCAAATATACTTCACGTCCTTCGAACTCGCAGCCAATCACCGTCATGGCCAGGACGATCTCCTCTTTCCAGTATAACCCTTTGTGATCACCACCTTGTTGAGGTTCCTGAGGTCCTCCATGGACATGTCCTTGAATTCCTTCTCCTCATATTCACCATCAACATCTCTCCTCCGCGCATCAACTGGTCGGCGCGGGGTCGGCCCCCACGCCTCCAGCTCCTGCTGGCCTTCTCATCACATCGCCCGCACCTGCGGGCCTCCTGAGGCCTCCGGCTTTCGCCCGAGCCCTCTCCTTCTCAACGGGGCAAGTAGTTCTCCCTAAAGTGAGCTTGCTTGATCCGCTTCGTGACCCCCTTGTTCTTGCCAAACCACTTAGGCTGAGCTCCTGCCCAAGGCTGATGGCGCCAGGGCGTTGAAGGCCCAGGTGGCGGCCCAGGTGGCGTCCTTGGCGGCCTCACAGCCGGAGCCGGCGACTCCTCCGGATCCTCACTCGAGGATGTCTCCTTCTTGACCTTGTCCAAGACTGTGTCCTCTGGGGGCAACACAGGTACCTCCTCTGGGGATGCTTCCCTGTGCTTCCTCCGCGGCCTAGCACTGGGAGTGCGGTCTGTCCTCCTCTTATAGTCCCTTGCCCGGGAGCGGCTCTTGCGACTGCCCTTAGTCCTTTTCCTGCTCCTCGACCTGTGCCTCCTCTTTCGGCTCCTTGAGCGATCCTCGCCTTTCTTTGCGGCCTCCTCTGCTTTCTCCTCACTAGCAGCCCCAGGGCTCCCAGCTCTGCCCTCCCTGGCCTGGGAGGTCTCCTCACTCACCGGGATCGCCGCGGCCTGCAAGGCCACGTCCACCACGTCCTGGATCTTCCCCGAGAGCTGCCTGAGCCGCTGCACCAGGGCAGCCTCCCAGGTCACCGGGAGACTCCGGTCCTTCAGGAGCACCCCGATGCGGACGTAGGCCCGG